TTAACACTGACAATCATAATAGATAATCGTTTGAACTTGCAGATCATATTATCCCTAGTATTTGTGAAAAAGTTATAAATTGTTGTACTTTATATTTTCACAAATGGTTTTCCACATTATAATAGTTAAAAACATAATCTTTGAACTTTGAACAAGAAACTTAGTATATCGTTTTGTCCTCGGTAACACTCCACAGAGATATGCGAGTGGAGGATCGTCTTTGTAGATAGAACTTAAACAGGACTTTCCGCATTATTACTTGTAGATTTGTTATTCCTATAAATTGGAGACACGTCCTCGGAGAACACTCCACAGAGATACACGAGTGGAGGACCGCCCCTGTAACCAGAATCTCTTAGATAGGGAGAGTGACTTGAGTGTATAAACCTATACGGGATTGACTATCCCGCACCTGGCTGCTAGCTACAACCGAACCGAAAGGTTCAAGGGTGACAAAAGTCATAAAAGATATTGGCCTCATCTCGAGTCATATCTAGTCTGTAGTATGGTTATAGAACTCGCAATTTGGATAACAGAGATTTACTTTTTAGTAATAATGGATATAGTAAATCAATAACCATAAGAATTAGTTTACTATGATAATCAGGTTTTTAGTATACATCTTTTACATTATATTTTTGGGTTGGTAAACAAACACACACTTCACAAGGTTAATCAAGTTTTCAGTGCACATATTTCACATTAGGAAAATATAGGATTTTCCTAGGGTAATCACAATTCATAACCAGAACCGTGTAACATAACAGAACAACTAAACTTTACTTTTAAGAAAATATGGGATTTTCTTGGATAACCACTTTTCAGAAAAACAAAAGGAATCTTTTACATTTTCATAAAAACAAACTGCTTATGAACTCACCAGCTTTATGCTGATTTTTAAAATGCTTGTATTCTCAGGTTCTCCTTAGACATGTATCCCGTGTTCTTTTGAAGATGGAGCATATGGAAGTCACGTCTTTCTTTTGTTTAAATTTATGTATCTATGAAACTTGTATCACTTTACTTTCAAAATGATGTAATGAAATCTATGTAATGTAATGTTTTGTGTTTACTTCGCTTACTATGTACATTGGTTATGATATTCACATGAAGTCACCTCCGCCCCGGAACGTTTCCGCCCTGGGTTTCGGGTTGTGACATAGTACTAGCATGTTGTTCTAACATATCGCATAATCAAATAATTGTATGGTATTTTGGGGTTTACTTATTGGCTCCTGTTGATTATACACCCTGCATCCTCCTTTACTTATTTTGAAAACCATTTGAAAATCATTTTGAAAATCGTTCCTCGATTTGAGACTAGATTCACACGAATGTTCCTCTAATTCACTCAAACCAAGGCTCTGATACTAACTTGTAACACCCATAAAATCATGTCAAATTAAAACTTTTTCAACACACTAAAAAACCATTTAACCATTACATAACTTCTTTTCTAAATAATAATCATAAGAGTATTCCATTTTCCAATCATAAATCATAGCAGCAAGAGGAGAGGTACAATCAGTCCTTCGCTTTCCCTCGATCACCAGAAGTACCTAAAACAACAAACTGAAACTGTAATCCTGAAAGCATAGTGAGCTACCCCAAAATACTAACGCTATACCAATATAACCATAACATATAACAAATACAGAACAACGTGCATAATGAGCCTTCAGTCTGACTAGACTACCTCGTAGGGCCTACAACCTATATGGACCGCTCTCAAGCCTTAGGCATGACTGGACCACCTCGAAAGGCCTACATCCTATCTGTACCGCTCGCCTGGTATGTTGGCCTACCGCAACAAAGCAGGACTACCTCAACTTAATCTCTTAATCAAACAGACATATGCATATAAATATCATATGCTAGCTTATATCATATAACAATCACACTGATCTAATATATCACTAATCATAGCAACATCCCAAAAACTGGGATACATACCTCAACGGTCACTAATATAGCATCATTCTGTAATCAGGACATTGACCTAGCCAGGTCAGTAACAAAGAATATCCCCATCCTAACTACCAGGATGTAAATCAATAACATATCATGCCATAATCTGGATACAATCATAAAGGGTCGGCCTTGGTGCCTTAGATCCTACTGATATAGTGAGGATAACTCCCCTCGCAACACTCGACTCGTAAGATAAGCTCAAACTCTCAGATCACGGACATGAACTCCACCACCTATATTCATTGTAAAACCATACTTGTAAAACTCCAACCTCCAAAAACGTCCCTAGAAGACCACTAGTCAACCCTTAGTCAAATTCAAAGTCAACTATCAAGGTCAACAGTCCATTTTGACCTCAACCCATCGAGTACCCTCTGCTACTCCTCGAGTTCCATGCATAACTCACCAACTCGTCGTCGAGTCACTAGAGTGACTCGTCGAGCTCCTAAGGTTTACGGCCATAAACTCCTTGTCCGACTCGTCGAGTTTCTCTTGCAACTTGCCAAGTTCATATATATCCACAAGTTAAGAAAGCCCCATCCAAATCGCCGAGTCACTCATCCGGCTCGCCGAGCCCACGACAATCTTCATCAGACTCTCCAAGTTTAAGAACATGTTTACCAAGAACTATGCTGGGAATTCTTTGCTACCATCTCCTCCGAGGTGGTAATGATTATTATAATTCGGGAATTATCACCTTTTGTCTTGGAGAGGAGCTATGCCAATGTAGCATAGCGGAGCTTGCATGGAGGCTAGGGATCTATGATCAAAATATGATCATGTTTGAAAACTTTGAGTCATTCCTAGAACACTGCCATAAGGACTTTCCCGAAGAGGTGGTTGCATCTACTAGGTGGAACACAATTGCCAACCGGGTCTACATTCCTTCTTCTGCTCAAGAGGGAAGCATCCGTTCCCCCATCCATCATCTTATCACAAGCACTATTAACATGCGAAAGGATGATGATAAGATCCCCACTCTCGACATATTTTACATGTGGAGCATTATTACCCATGATGTTTTTTCAATTTGCCATATTGTTTGGCATAGTACTTGGCGGAGGGGGCGGTTAAGGAGAGGATTACATCCAAAATCAATGGTGGCATGTTTTTTACAAGGCTGGCCAGGACATGTGGGATTTTGGACCAAGAGGTGGCTTGGGTATTAACAATGATTCCTTCTCCTCCTTTTAGCACCACATTATTTAAGAGGGCAAGGATCATTGAGGATTATGGTGGGGGACATTTTGGAATCCCAAATGCAGATGATTTGTTGGTGCCCGAGGAACTAGGAAGGAGGGTGAGGCAACGAAGGGATCACGTCCGAGAAGACCACCGGTCATTCCGGTGGATGAGGAGCTCCCAATGGACTGGTACAACATGGAGATGATAAGGTACCAGGATGAACTTGGACTGAGTATGAATTACCACAACGAATCATTTGTTTAGTTGTTTGAACAAATGAATATTGCACCAAGAACCAGGCCCGGATATCCCTATGTTTTATGTTGGGAAGAGAGGACGAATCAAAGAAGGAATCAAGCCGGTAGTAGCGGAGCTGGAGGAAACGAAGAAGATGATGAAGGTTGATGAAGATTGATGTTTTGTGGTTTTTATTTGGTTGTTTGAAAAGTATTTTTATTTGTTTTGTGTGTTTTGAACTTTTAGTAATAGGTTAAAGTAGGAGTTTGTTTATTATCACTTGTGGTTGTTTTTATCTTTTCAGATTGAAGCTTAGGATGCATGCAAGAGTCTCAATGTCAAAGCTAAAGTAAGGGTCGAGTCTAGATGAGGATGTGGAGGTTTTGAGTTTAAGGTTGAGTCTGTTAGTAAAGAGGGTTAAAGAGTGTTATTTATTGAAAAAAAAATGAAGGAGTGATACAAAATTTCCATTACCAAACACATCATAAACATATTCAAATAAGGAGATTTATTTTCCAATCAGCGTTGTACTCGTCGAGTGCATATCTTGGACTCGGCGAGTCCCTTTGCAATTCTGCGACCTTTCTGCTAGAAATACTTCTACTCACCGAGTTTTCATATTTAATCGACGAGTCACTCAATATTCCATTATCAAGTATTACATTTTAACCACATTTGATATGGGCCTTACTCATATTCTTTGAGGATTAATTCCTGAAGATTTTTGAGACTGTGTTCCTGCATATTTGGAGCCGTACCACACAAGATTTGACACCCAAGGCATGGATGAATTGTTCCCATGCCTAAATTCAATTAAATATGGAGCTTTTCATGAAGAAATATCGACCTCGGTACGACTATCGCAGGGGAGTTTGTTCCAATTCTCTCTTTATTTTGTCATTTCTATGCATAACATGCAATGGGGACATTGCATAAATTAAGTTTGGGGTAAGGGTTGATTATATTAGTTACATTAGAATATAAATTTAGGTATAATTTTGAAAATTTTGAATTAAAATTTACTAGGATTAATTTAGCAAACTAGTGTTGTGTTTGATGATTTTATGAGCCCTATATACATTATAAAGCATTTGTGGCCCCCTTTATTTTAGTGAAATCATGGGACAAAAACACAACCTTGCTTTGTTTGAGGGATGTAACACTACTAGAAAAAAGGCCTTTTACGACGCTCATTGAGCGTCGTAAAACGCTCAAACGACGCGCAAATGCGCGTCAAGGAAGGCCTTGTCATAAGGAGAGACGACACGCTTTTGCGCGTTGTCTATAGACGACGTGCATTTACGACGCTCATTTATGACGTGCAATGCGTATCATTAAAGTTGTTGTCAAGAAACGCCATGTCATAAATGAAGATGACACACATTTTTGCGTATCGTAATATTAATTTTTAAAACTTTTTTTTTTTAGATTTACTAATTTTTATATTAAATTTGCATTTCATGTCTCATAATGGAAAATAAAATACCATATACAAAAAATACAATCTATTGCACAAAATTTAATGTCATACAACTTCTCTGTACAAATGGACACATAGGCAAGAACAAGAATTTCTATACAATGCCTGCATCACTTAGACCTATTTTTTAAACAATTTCATTACTATATATGACAATTTCTAAAAAGCCAACCATGTCTGCTTTAGATAGCTCTAGCAACTCATCCACAAATTGGCTACCCATAGCCTGAAAAAATAGAAAGGGCAAATAGGTCATTTTGGGATAAATTTTATTTCCAATGGGTCAAATGGGTAGAGAATGTACCTACATTTGCAATACGAACCGTAGAAGTGACTCCAGCTGCAAAAAGTAAAGAAGGTAGGAAGAGAGAACCATAGAGAATCCAAAGTGAATACGATGAGGTGGCAAGTAAGCAAAATAAGAAAAGGTATTACATCATAATCATACTAGTTGAAGTATTCTGAAGATTTGATGGATGACTAATTGAGAGCATCGTGCCTATATTAGGGGCAATTGTGGAACATAACGTAAGACAAGAAACAAGATTTATAAAAAAAGATTTATCAATCTATTTTTTATAAAATATAAAAAGATTTATAAAAAAATATATAAATGCCCTCTTGATCCTTATCATCAAATGCAATACAAATCACAAGAAACAAGAATATGAATTATAAAGTTTTTTTTTTACCTTAGCAAGGAATCCAAATTGACCTAGCATGGAACTCCACCTGATAATGTTGTAGGCATACAACTAAAAAGAGCTAGCCCTGTAAGAAAATAAAAGAAAACTTAATTATTGCATCTAACTGTAAAAGAACAAGATTAAAAGATATACAAAGAGTTGATTGATGCTAAAAAAAGAATTCAATTATGTCTGAAACCACACATGTGTACATAGGCGTACATCAGTGAGATTCAAATCAATAACTTCCTGCCACTCAATTGTTCCCTGTCATTCAAATTTTTTTCCTGCCAAATTAGGCCAATTTGCACGCTCTAATAAAACTGCACGAACCACTTTAGGGTTTATTCCTTTATCAACCTAAAATTACCAATAAAAAAAATTAATATTTCATATTTGTATTCATTTCATAACTATAAGTACTTGATTCCAATATATTTCATATTTGTATTCATTTCACAACTGGAACTCCTCAAAACTACAGGAACCTTCATCACTAGATCTCATTTTCTCAGCCTCCAAGAAATCACTTTCATTCAAAGCAGCAAATTCATAAAGTCCAGGACTTTAAAAGCATCTTCCCATGTGACTTTTAACCTTCAACTAAAACAATGTAAAAGATAAGGGGGGAGAATGCTTACTTGTATGGAAGCAATGGAGGAGTGATTATAGGTTTATGGAAGAACACATTTACACCAGAAATATCCATGTTCTGATATTGCATCTTTAAATTTTAAGAAGCAATTCAAAAATAACCGAGCAAAAAAAGATAAGTTTAAAGAACTTTAATACATTGCAATGCCTTGGAAATCTATAACCAAACCCATAATTATAATCATAATTTAGTAATATAATGTAATATAATATGAATATTATTGAAGATTAAAAAAATTAACCTGATGCATTGCTTCCAACACTTCACTCTCTGCACATAATTTTTTGGAGTTGTTGATCATGGAAAGAATCTAATCACACAGTCCCATTTAGATGTAGATTTTCTCATTTTTAGCACCACATTTATTTCTGTTACATTTCGTTTTGAATGGTAGTTTATGTTGTTACATTTACCATACTTCCAGCTCCCATCAGGCATATCTCCTTCTGAAAACAAAAAAAAATGCAAAATCATATATAATTTATCAAGCATATCTCCTTCTGAAAACATCAAGTTTTACAGAACTACCCACAATAGGTACTTCATTAGGCACTTGATAAGGATTAGATGGAACAGTATAGTCTCTGAAGCAACATTTTCTGCTTCCAAAACCACATCGGCCCTATTTATCTTTGACTTCTCAAGCTTGGGCAACATTGCAGAAGTTCCATATGTTCATTTTCCTATGAATTTATGTTGTTTCAAGTGAAGTGTGTATATTACAAATAGAAGGGTATATTTGTGATTTATATAATTTAGAACATAAGCTACAGTGGCATACCTTTAATAGCTCAAAATCTCCATCATCCAAGTGAAGTATGGTGAACTGACAGATAGATTTAACCGTAAGGTGGAGTATGGCATGATCTTAATCCTATGCCCCATTATAGACATCTTATGCAGACTCGGTTGTCGATTGAAAAGCACAAAATCTCCATCATTCAAGTGCCTCTCCACATGTGTAGGATAACAAGGTTATCATTTCTCAAGAATGACAACATAATCAAGGATATACAGAAGGTACAACATGCCTTGTATCCAAACTCCAGATGATGATCACTGCTTTTCTTCAAGTAACGAAGATCAAGCCTTTGACCATTGTCCCGGATAATATGCTTGGCTCCAGTTTGACCAGGAGGAGGATGAGGACAATACTCAACAAGCTCCTTAATCCTAATGGAAAATGGAAGAAAAAACAAGTTTAGCTAAAACTCAAACAGGAAGAAGTAGAAAAAAAATATAATAAAGTGAAGAAGAAGAAGAAGAAGAAGAAGAAGAAGAAGAAGACCATTCAATGTTATAAGGATTAAGGAGTAACAGTCTCAGGATATGTAAGATTCAAAGCAATACTTCATGGTACTCCCAGTTGATCAATGTTAATGGTTGGACCTGGAGTGATGATTGTACGTGATGAAAGTCAACACGCTTCCCCATCAGATTGCCTCTGATCCTACCATCCTTTGCCTTGAGCCTACTGCATATGGATTTAATAGGATGCACTGACCGTTGTGTAGCCTGTAGGTGGGATTAACAATATTCTATGTGAGGACAATGTAACTATATTCAACCACATTCATGTACAAAATTCAAGGATTTGAGTTAACTTCATATTAACTAATGAACCACGTGAGCTCAATACGAAGAATAGCAGTAGAAGAGAAGCAAAATATAAATTGGAGACTGAAAGTCACTGCTCGGTGGTAAATTGTTAACATTTAAAAACGAGAGTCGTGTAACTGAAGAAGATGAAGTATAAGGGGAGATGGGTTTGAAATAATATGCTAATTGTACCTAGTATCGAGGAATCAAAACAAGAGTTGAAGCGGTTTTTTGATGAATCAGTGATTTTTGGAATCGTCGACGGAATTCTTGCCAATCAATCGCCAAATCGGTGATCCAACCGCCAAATAAATCATCAATTCGCTGAACCCAATCGTGAATCGGAGCAACCCAAATCGATACAAACACATTCCCATCACAAACAGACTAATTGATTAGATCGTGACGACGCTGTAATAGAGAGCGTTTCGGCCGGCGTCGGGATCAATTTTGTACTGTGTTTGGGTACGGAGCGTTTAGAATGTGGTTTGTGGCCTATTAAGCGACTCATGTGGTTATGGTTTTGGAACTGCAATGAAGGGTAACACGACTGGAGTCACAATGATGTTTGAGGGGGCAGTATCGACAAAACACGCTTAGGGCTTAGGGCAAAGAGGGAAAAAAAGTGATGGAGAAAAGGAAGGCAGGCTTTTCTAATTTTTAGGATTTCATTTCCCGCTCAAATTTAGTAAAGAGGAGGCGCGTTTTAGGTGAAAAAAATTATAAAACGACATCTAATCCTAGGGCACGTGAAAATGCGTACCCTAAATCCTTTAAATTTTAGCAGAGATGACATTTTTTTTACGATACCCACTTTTACGGGTCATAAATCACTGTGTGTCATAGATTGCGCATCATTAAAGCCCTGTTTTCAAGTACTGTAATATGTTTAGCATCATCTACCAGAAATGTATCCTAGAAAACTAATACTCTAACCAATAAAGGTTGAAGTTAAGTGTCCTTGCATAAGCATGTAGGTTTTGAGTGAAAAAAAAAAAAGTGAGTTACATGTGAAAAAAAAAAAGAGAAGTTGTAAGAATTTTGGAGCAGTCAAGTGAAGATCAAAAGTTCGAAGTTCTGAAAAAAAAATCAAAAAGTGAAGATACCAAAAATCATAAAGGTGGTGAATTCAAAGAAATCAAACATCAAACATCAAAGAGGTGAAGAATTCCAAATAAGCTCTATAGTGGTATCAAAAAAGTTGTAATTGTTTAGATTATGTGCTTGGGTTGCTCAACCAAAAATACCTTGAGGTTAGGAAGTTTTCTACAGTTGGATTTGGAGGGATGCATAAAATGAGCATTGTTCAAAAGAAGTGGGCAAGTGTTTATGAGGATTGTAAGTATTTAGAATTGAGGGGTGTCTTTAGGAAAAATTTGTAGACACAAATGCATGCATTTCGGTCTTGTCATAATTGTTGGGTTCAATTGGGAATGTCTTATATGATATTAGTGTGCTAAAATTTAGTTTTGCTTGGGGGCAAGCAAAGGTCAAGTGTGGGGTATTTTGATATGTGCATATTTAGCTATATATTTAGTATAGATTTTTATTATTTACTAGCTAATTATTTGCAAATTATGGACAAAAGGTACTTAACAGTGTTTAAATTGTATTTTCAGTCCAAATGATATGCTTGGAAGCAAAAGGAACCAGGAGATGCGATCGAAAGCTCATAAACTGAAGAAAGAAGGAAAAGAACCAAATCCTGAAGGACTCAGCAAGTCGAGACGCCTACTCGACGAGTACCGACAATTTTTCGTGAAGCAAAACACAAAGTCCTTGTCGTACATGGACTCCACAAAGGCGGCTCGGCAAGTCGATTATCTACTCTACGAGTAGACCATGTATTCTGAAATCTATAAATAGAAGTCACATTCCCGTATTGAGGCTCTCTCTGGAATCCTTGTGGAATTACTTTGCGACCAAGAAAGCACATGGAGCTTTGGAAATCGTGAGATAGCCCTAATTTTCAATTCTAAGGAGATTCAAGGCAACATGAGTTTACTTTTTCACTTTATTCTTGAATAGAACTATGTTTGGATTGTTATAATTCGTTTTTGGGTTGTTATTTGTTGTAATTATGAACTAAATCCTTTAGTTTCTGTTTAGGGTAGATAAGTTTACTCCTATGGATTGATTTATGTTTGTATTGATTGTTTATTGGTAAATTTTGTTAAATTAAGCTTGTTAAAGAACCTTATGCATTAACCATAACTATTTTTCGTTAATTGACAAGTAATTAAGCTGCATGAACATCTCTTAATTGCTTACCTCATATGATTTATGTGAAAACATTGTTATATGCCTAGGAATAGTGAATGTGAAACTAGGGTTAACTAGAGAATGGGTAAATTAATGTGTGAGCTTGTGTGATAAACCATCAACAAGAGGTTAATTAAACTATTAATTTGATTAGCTAATTACAAGTCTTATTTAACCCGAATAAATAAACTAGGGAATTTATTAGTTTAGTCACTTGATCACTGCTTAAATTAATTTATTTTCTAAGGATTGGTAATAGCGAATGTGAATGTAATCACCTTAAGGTAACCAATAACAATTAATCCATTGCATTGCCATAAAATTAACCATAGTAGTAAATGAATCAAACCTAAACAGAAACCTTATTATTATTGAATTTAGTTGGTTTTTACTTGTTTTAGTTGTTAGCTATTTAAACTGCGTGTTAGTTAGTGTGTTAAAGTTTCTAGTCTTGCAAAACTAGAGAAAAGCTTTTACTTTGTTTACTTGTTTAGCTAATTCTAGTTATTAGTTTAATTTCCGTTCCTTGAGTTCGATACCCTACTTATTCAACTATATCACTAATAGACAGGTTCACTGCCTTTCTGTGTTTAAATTTCATCTTAAAAGTAGGACTACAACACATGCATTTTTATATACATCAACATACAAAGGACTAGATAAACGAGTTACATCTGTCACTTTGATTATCCAATTTGACAAAATAACTTAGTCCTTTGCAGGGTTACATCAAACAAAAGACAATAATAATTAATGCATAGACGGATTCACTATCTCGGAACATCTCTTTACTTCGAACCATAAAATCCACTCTGGACTTCAACCACCATCTCATACCATAACCATTTTGGACTTAATCTTGACTTCGGAACTACAAAGGTTAGAGATTGCTAGAGATTTACTTTCTGTAGTGGTGTTGATTATGATGGCATGTGCGGAATAAGAAAGATCTAGTGAATCATCATATAAAATCAAGAACACATGAAGTAAATATATCTAAGTTTAGCTCTCATTAGTATTGATAGAAAGAGTATAAATGGGTCTTGCAATTTCTCTCTCTAAACTAAT